ACCGTTTTTTTTTTCGTTTTGAAATGAAATATTCGGTTATGATCGATCGATTTGTATTTATAATATTAAAAGATTTCAAATTCTTATTTATATATCGTATTGAAAAAGAAAAAAATAAGAAAAAAATGCCAAAGAATAATTTTTTTTTTTTTTGGAACGAATTATAAGCGTGGGCGTCGTTTTTTTTTTGAAAACGTTCGAAAACCGTTAAAAAAATTTCTTTGTTGCGTTACCCTTCATCCACACCATTCACACGTGTTTCATATATAACTTTATAAACTATTATTCATTTTATTTAAAATAAATAATAATAAAACAAATTAATCACACACGCACTTACACACACGCACACGCACACACGTTTCGATAAATCTTAATTAAATAAAAATTCAAACAGAAAAAGTAAAATAAAAATGGCGGATTTTTACTTACTGTAACTTATTCATTTAAATCAAAAATTTGAAAAAATATTTATACAATAAAAAATTTTTTACTGTTTTGTCCGTTTGTTAGATTAAACTCGATCGAACGAATTGTTTTATTATTATTATTATTATTTGGATATATCATTAAATAACCAAAATCTAAATAAACGTTTATTTATTACAATGAAAAACGAAAAACCGTTTAAAACAAATTTGAATTTTTCAACTTCCATTAATTCCGGATAAAATTATATATCCGGATGATTAATTATTATTAATTTAATTAATTAAAACGTTTATTCCCGAATCAAATTTAAAAAATTTTTAAACTTTTCTCTTTTTCTCTCTCTCTCTCTCATCGAATAAAGAAATTTTTTTTTTTTTTTGTTAAATAATAAAAAACTCGTCACGTTGCAAAAAGTTAAAATCGACACTAAACACATGAAATCAAGAATCGTAATAAAAATGGCGGACGATTTTTTTTTCGCGTTTGTTTACCTCGTTAGAAAAAATTTTTTTTTTTTTTTTTAATTGTAAACGATAAAAGATTTATATAAATAGATTTTAACAAATCACTTGTGTCGTTTTTCCACAAACGTAATGAATTCGAATTTTAATAAAGCAAAGAATAAAAGTGAATTTTTTTTTTTCTTTTTTTCCTGATGTTTCTCTCTCTCTCTCTCTTTTTTTTTTTTATTTCACTTATTTATAAGTACGATTACGATAAAAAAAAAATTAATTAAAAATTCCTTTTTTTTCACCAAACTAACTGTCCAACAGCCAAAAACGTTTATTTTTTTCTAAGAAATATTTTTTTTGGATAATAATCAAATTTATTCATTTACATATTTATCACGTTTATGTCTCATAAAATTCTCTTTTTTTTTTACCTTTTTTTACGCATAATATTTTTCGAATGTTTATTTTTATCGGAATGATTTTAAAAACAAAGTGAAAAACATTTAATGATTCTTACAGAAAAAATTAATAAAAAAAAAAACTGAGACGTTACCTTAAAAACAAGTCGTTATTAACATTTAACTGATGTTTGCGTATTCGGTCGATAATATTACAAAATATCGATAATACGACCTTTACGATTTTAATAAATTAATTCGAATTATTTATTTATTACCAAATATCAATACTACTATTTAAATTCAAATATATTTATGTAAATTTACTAAAAATAACATTCCACGACCGTTGAAATTAAAATTTTTGAAAAATTCAAAACGATTACAGCACTCCAAGCGGATATTTTATTAAATATTAATTGAAGAAAAGCCTCCGCGATTCACTTTCACGACATTTTCTTCTCACAATACCTTTTTTTTTTTTTTTTTTGAAATTTTATGACAAAATAACAAAAAAAAAAAAAATCGATAATAATATTAACAACGTTTAAAATAAAAATAAAACATTCGAGATGAAATCAAACTTTACGGACGACTTTTAATTATTATTTTAATGGGGGGAAATTATTTATTAATTACAAAACATTAATAAGTGTAAACCCCTCCCCCATTTTTGTTTTCAACCTAATTAAATATTGGTTTTATTCAGCATAAAGTGTCGTTATCGGTAATTAAGTCGATTTAAAAATTTACAAACAAAACAAACAAACAAAAAAAACAAGGTGGGAAAATAAAATAAAAAAAAAAAAAAAAAATTAAACAAAATTTGAGACGTGATAGTTGTAGCAAACAATAACGAATAATAAATAATGCCATACGATTAATTTTTTTTTTTTTAATGCTAAAATTAACATTTTTTTTTTTTGTTTTAATAAGCGACAGTTAATTCATATTCTAAAACAAAAACACAAAATGTTTTCTCTCATACAAATTTTTGTACAACAAACAACTGTCATACCGCTGTCTATAAAAAACATGTAAAATAAACGTGAGAATAAATTTCATTTGCCAAAATAATAATTATTATTAATTAGGATGTCTCAAAATCGTACGTAATATTGAATAAAGAATAATAATAAAATAATACCCATCAAATAATAATACATTTATTCATATTAAATTATTATTATTATTATTATACAATCAATCATTCACACAATCGTA